ACTTGGACTTTAAATCACCTCATTTGTTATCCATCTGTGAAGGCAGGCTAAGTTAGGTGTTTAACAAACCGATCAGTAGCACTGAGTAGTACAACAAGAAAACCTAAACAATGAAATGAAACAGATAGGAGAATAGCTGGTTGGTGTCAAATAACTATCCTACATAATTCATTGAGAAGATCAGAAAAGGTCAAAAGCAAAATAAAAGTAATGGTGAAACTAATAAAGACCAAATTAAATAACAGAGAATATAAGTCATCCACTGTTATACCATATAAGGAGGGTACATCTGAAACCCTACGTTGAATTCTAAATAAGGCAGGAATTAGAGTGGCATTTAAACCTACAAACTCACTCAGGTAGGACAAGCTCCGTAGGCTAAAAGAAACTGTCGGTCAACCCCATTAGACTAAATAATATAATTTACAAAATACCCTGCAATGACTGTGAGGTCAACTACATAGGTCAAACTAGTAGGTCAGGGGTAGTCAGATTGTCGGAACATAAGAAATTAGCTAAGGTTAGAATGACTGACCCCACTCGCGAAGATAAGTAATTTAGAAAAAAGCTCAGCTCTATCTCACTGCATGCATTAACAGCGCACAACCACACAATAGGGTGGGACAGAGTCAAAATTCTAAAAAGTAATATAGGTAGGCGGAGAGAGAGAGATTGGTTACGGAATTCTTGTTCATCGAGTCACATGCAATAGGAATGACTCATCGCCTATATCGGAAATATGGAAAATATTACTACCAATCATATTGCGAGATGAGAAGTAGTGGAATTCTATAAACGAAGTTGCTTTGGTATTATTATGAGCAGCAATAAATTGTGCTCGAAACGTGGTCATCAGTAAATATTACTTACTGTTTAACAACACTGTGAGACTTCATCAAAATAAATTTTCTCCACTATGGAATTATACTCCAATACAGTGGCCAACTTCTCTTCTTATATCAGTGAGCTCGATAATCATTATAATTTAGAAATAATAGGGGAGACTTGTCGTTTTTAGGTAGATACTTTTTGGTGTGGTTGTGTTCTTTGAGCAGAGTAGCTTACACTTATAGGCCAAAATTAATGACCGTTTCATTTTGTCTATCATTACTTAATTATCCTTATTTTCATCTAAAATGTGAACCAGTTTTGTCAGACAGTAAACAGTTTTTTTCCAAAGGTGTTATTCCACTGGAATACCTGATGTTTTGGTTGCTACAAACATTTTAACTGCTATTATGTAGACCTAATTTCTCTAAAAAACTGTAATTATCTTTTTTACCGTACAGTGCTGTTTTTATCCCACCCGCCGCCCACGCACACACATTTATGACCCTGGAGCCCTATTGGTTGTTGACTGTTTTGACTTATCAATGTAATTAGTGCCTATCACGGTCATTTAAAGCGTATATATATATGCAACTACCGTCAACCCTTCCCGCTGTTGATTCAGGACAGTAAAAGCTATCTACATCACAGGGTCTATCTTCTTACGTCGAGCGTTCAGTGTTGTCATATCGTGTCGTTGTTGTTGTTGTTGCTAATAGTGATTAGAACAGTAAGCTTGCAAATCGATTAGGTAGGAAGTTGGTTTAGTACAAACTACCAAGTGTATCAACGGTCGTAACATGTGTTTATTGGTTTTTCAAGTAACAGTATTTCATTTGATCAGATGGCCGGAAAGAATCACCAACACGAAACTATGGGAACAAACAAAACAAGAACCAATCGCCCAGCAAATATGCAAGAGGAAGTGGAGATGGATTGGACACTCGCTGAGGAGGCCACTGGGTGATATCGCGCGTCAGGCCAGTGCTCGAGTGGAACCCGAAAGGGAAGCGGCGAGTTGGACGTCCAAGGGTGACATGGAGGAGATCGTGTGAAGAGGAGTTGAAACAGTGTGGACTAAGATGGATGCAAGTGAAAAATACAGCAGAAGACAGAAGCAAGTGGAGAAGTGCAGTTGAAGCCCTATTTTCCACTAGGAACCCAAGGGTATCATTGATATAAGAATAAACCTTGGGCACTGTGGTAGAATGTAATTCCATTATGGGTAAATTTTCATTCTGATAGAGTCTCACAGTGTTATACAGTAATATTTACTGATGACGTTTCGAGCACAATTTATTGCTCATAATCATATCAAGGTATCATATAACCTTGATATGATTATGAGCAATAAATTGTGCTCGAAACGTCATCAGTAAATATTACTGTATAACACTGTGAGACTCTATCAGAATAAAAATTTACCCATAAAGGAACCCAAGGGAACAATAATAATTTATAGTTTTCAGATTATCTAAATACAAATGACAATGTTTGCATCAATAGTTCAAATGATAGTGGGCGAGGATAAATTCCCAGACAACGTACTCTTAAACCACCTTATCGCCTAGTTTATAAGCCCCGGTAGTTAGTAAATCCTGGAGAATGAGAGATTGGAAGTGAGGTAAACAGCCTTGCTACTGAAACTTCAATGCTCCACATTGTATTTTCCATCTCGAGCACAAGAAATGGAAAGGGGAAATAAAAGTGAAATTGTAATTCAACGGTACTACCAAAAAAACGATTTCAACCAGTAAGTTAGTTTAATAGATTCCTGGGCAACATCACCAACAGCAACTACAACAACTGACAACAATCAGCATAAATGGGAGGAACCTGAAAGTAGCAACCTTTTTTACCTACCTGGGAAGCATAGTTCCAACTACAGGCGGACGGACCTGACGAGGATATCAACGCAAGAATCGGAAAAGCAAGACAAGCTTTCACTACTCTCAAGTCTGTGTGGAGGTCAACAGCACTCAGCATCAAAAATAACATCCCGATTTTCAACTCCAATGTGAAGTCAGTGCTACTCACTATACGGATCAGAGACTTGGCCAGCGCCTCCTAAAGACCGTCTCAAACAAACTACAGACCTTCATTAACAGCCGTCTTCGCTCAATACCACTCAAGATCAGATGGCCGGCCAGAAGAGATCAGCAACAGAGTGAGATCTCTGGAAGCGAACCAACTCAGCTGGAACCGATTATGAAACAAATACGCAGGAAGAAATGGAGATGGATTGGCTGGCCATACTCTGAGGAAACAATCCATCAAGTGACATCACTAGACAAGCCATTGCTCAAGTGGAACCCGAAAAGGAAGCGGCGAGTTGGTCGTCAGTGCAAGGGTGAGGGTGACTTGGAGGAGGTTATGTGAAGAGGAGATGAAAACGTGTGGGCAGACATGGAGCCAGGTGAAGACTGTAGCAGAGAACGGAAGGTAATGGAGACGCACGGCTGAAGCCCTATATTCCTCTAGGAATTAAAGGAAACAATAATAATAAGTTTGTTTAATTGAGAAGCTTTCCCATTCTCTTTTTGAACAGTATCTTCAGCACCGACGTCTTTATAAAAGTCAGTGAAGAATCCCAGAAACTCACTTCGCAGTGAAGATGTTTTCCAGAAGGGGAATAAAAGCTTTCTTAGTGTCTATTAGGACTTTTTACACACTCAAGATTTAACCTAGACCACAAGGTCACTTAGGTCACTACAGGATGACATCATAATCTGATGGTCTTCAATCTGATCCTTGCTGGAGTCATAAGTGCATATTAGTTAATGAGATATATCTTCTATCTAATAACAATTTTACGTATACTTAGATTGAACACTAGTCAGTAACTAGTGTAATGTATGTGTGTCTAATCTTCTCTTTGATGCAGACTGGATTCTGTCAGTCAAGTTTGCAATATGGCTACCATGTCACTAGGTGGCTCAACATCACGATGCACCATACTGTGAATTGTTGATATTAGATGGTCGGAGGCAATCGGCCACAGGAAACCTTGATTCACCTAAGTTTCGCGCTAGCTGGCACTCATCAGTCAGTCAGCAAGGTGTATCTGCAACCAATTCGAAGGAATTTATTTCTCTTCTGAGGTTCTAATCCGCATCATCCACTGCTGCAGTCAAAAACGTTGCCACTTACGAGTTGTTCGGGGGCTCGCGATTGACCTCCTGTAAGACTGACTTTATTGGAGCCCCAACGGGTTGATCTCTGACGAAGTCTCAGCGCGAATACAGAGGGCTAGTTTCGCATATGCCAGTTTACGCCGTCTCTGGTTTAGCAGACGTGATATCCAACTGGCTATCGACCAAAAAGCGTGTGTACTGCTCAGCAGTCCGCTCCGTCCTCTTTTATGGCTGTGAAACCTGTTCATTGAGAGTGGAGGACATGAAAAGGCCAGCTAGGTGTCTTCGATCGTAGGTGCCTGCGTTCTATCTCCCGTGTTAAGTGGTTTAATAAGGTGAGCAATATTGAAGTTAGGCGTCGAGTGCTAGGTAAGGAGGGGAAATCAACAGACGAGGCTGTAAAGCTACATCGACTGAAATGGTTAGGACATATGTTACTTGTATGCCTAGTCATCGCCTTCCTCGATGGGCAATGTCAGCTGATATAGGGTGAGGCTGGAAAAGAGCCAGCGGCCGTGAAACGAAAAATGGCACCAGACAATGAAATCTACAACTGTTAGTTAAAGCCAGCCACGTAGGAAGGTGTAGACTGGCTTCCTGGTTGGGGTCTTCGGGACGGTAAAAACCAATGACTGGAGACAATCGGTGATATGACTCAAAATCGTTCTCAGTGGCGCAGATGCATCCACTCCTTGTGACTTATAATTCCCTATGAAACTGTTTTGTTCTTCGTTATTACTATTCCTTTGTCTCACACCTCTGTTTACTGTCTATATTATGCATTTCTCCTAATTTCCTCTCTTGCTTTGTGTGCTACATGGAGTGTGGCGACCTGAACTGCCGCACATCGGTGCAAAGTTCTATGTCGAAAACAGACAGACAGTAAATAGTGTAATGTGTCTTTAGCCCTATATCTTTGGTGTAGACTGACAAGACAAAAATCCACACATCATGATGTACAAATTTTTCTTGTAAACGAAATAAAAAAACAAACAGATAAAACTGGACTATTTTTATTCATTCATTGCTCAGTAATATAATTGACAATTGTCAATGCTTCAATTCAATTAAACAAGACGCGTTTGCGCATTCTCCTGACTTACTCATCACTTTTGAAAGCAAGTGTTAAACGATAACACCAAAACAAATGCACATATGAAAAATTCTACAAATGTTACTGTACTGTTTCACACACAGAGAGTAAAAGTAAACAAGAAGAAGCAGAAGAGGAAAGGAGGCAAAGATGATGCGGGCAAAACAGGCGATAGAAACAAGAAGCAAAGCGTATAAAAATAGCGATGATAAGGTATTGATTGTTTTCTCCTCTTTCTGACTACTACTACTGATTCACTCACTGTACGGTTGACACCTTTCTTTCATTTATCCTTGATTCAATGCAATGCTTTCCAATGATTTGATCAGTGTTTGACGAGCTAAACGTGGAGTTAAGCAAATTGTGAGACAATAGAAAAAACAAAACAAAAACAAACAAAACAAATCGGATCAAATAAAGAAACAGCAGATAAATATTCAAATGAACTGTCGTCAACATTTGACAGAATAGCTCTAAAATCTCAGCGAGATTGAGATGAGTAATTCCAACGTTTCGTTCGGCAATCTCGTCCGAACTTCTTCAGGGAAATTAATCAGAATTAAGATAACATAGGTTTATATATAAAAGGCACATCTTTTTGTTTTCAAAAACTTTGTGCAATCATGATTCATAAACACAAGTATTAACAAGTATAATAAACAAAATTTTATGAGCTGTGATCAAAATTTGACCTCGGACTTACAAATATTGGTCTACCTTTGTTAAACACTTTAAACAGAGTGTGTATGTGTGTGTGAGTAAACAGTTGTAAAACATTTCTTAGCGTTTCCATAAGAAGATATGGACAGTAGGACCAGATTGCCGAACGAAACGTTGGAGTTACTCATTTCAATCTCGCTGAGATTTTACAAATATGATTTTTTTACAAATGTCTACTTCTCACTTGGCGCCCAAATATTTTAAAACTATTCTGTCAAATCTTGACGACAGTTCATTTGAATTATTTTGCTATCGAATTAAATTAACAAAGAAACTGTGTAATTGGAACAATCATCGTGTTTTCACTCTCCGTTGGCTGCAACAGAATGCATATCCTAAATCCGTAGCTGTCGAGTCACCTGACAACTCCAGTAGGTCGAATAAAGCAGCTCAATCTTCAGAAAGAAGACAAAGCAATAAGTCCGACAGGGTACTTCTACTAAACTCTAATCCTAAACACCATAATTTTGAAAATACGTCTAATCATAAAATTCTAGATACTGACAGTTTGAACAGACATGAAGGCGTGATGTTAGCTGATGCATAGGAAATCCTTATTAATAAATAAAAAATGGATATGTATCACTAATTATTAATACTTGGTCAAAATTCTCGACTGTCCATAACTTCTTATGGAGACGTTAAGAAATGTTTTACAACTGTTTACCCACACACACACATACACACACTCTGTTTAAAGTGTTTAACAAAGGTAGACCAATATTTGTAAGTCCGAGGTCAAATTTTGATCACAGCTCATAAAATTTTGTCTATTATACTTGTTGAATGACTCATGATTGGACAAAGTTTTTAAAAACAAGTGATATTCCTTTTATATATAAACCTGTGTTATGTTAATTTCGATTAATTTCCCTGAAGAAGTTCGGACCAGATTTCCGAACGAAACGTTGGAATTACTCATTTCAATCTCGCTGAGATTTTACAAATATAATTTTTTATAAGCAGATAAATATAGTACGAAAATACAAAAAATATTTTCAGAAACCAAATGAGGTCGGAGTGGTGACCATTAGGAGTGGTGGCGATTAAAAATGTTTATAACTGAATAACTTAGGAAAACAGATAAGAGTAATTATCCGTGTTGGTTCGCAAGGATTTGATTGGCTTCGAGTCTCGTCACAAGCTGACATCAGTCAGAGAACCAGTGGAAAATCACTAGGGAGTACTGGCAGGCAGCTGTTCCACCCTAGTGCTTGGGACTCTCCAGCAGCAAGCAGTCACCGCCGGGGTTCGAACCCAGAACCTTCCATTATACTACAATGGATGGTTACCAGTCAATCAACACCCACGCAGTCAGTTTGACGGTAAGAAATTTCAGTCATACGATTCAAAATCAATCTCAGTAGTGGGAAGAATATACACATATAGCTAGCTTATCATTATTTCAACTGGAATATCATATAACAAGATGATTTTCAGCGAGCAATTGTTTTCGATACATTCTTCTTTAGGCTCTACTGATACAGTACACCAAAGATGTGTGCGTGTATACAAGTTCAACTGCTCATGTGTGTAGCTAGTTATGTAGGTCGAATTCAGAGGGATTTATCTTTACGCACCCATAAACATGTTCCTGTTTGGCTTGAAAATAGTGTAAACAAATCAATAAATAGTACCATTTTATCTCATCTAGTAGATAGTGAACACCACGCCTAAATAGCACACGATTACATCTCCTAGCTATAGCGGGAGCTGTAGAGATTAATAAGAAAAAAAACCTGACCTTTGTGTGAAAAAGAAGCACATTCATCCTGTTTGTTTACCCTGGCCTACTTACTGTAAGGTTAGCAGGGACATAAACATCCATATTTTCATGTCATATTATGCCTTTCTTATTCCTTTTCACCTAGTTTACTTTACTCCACTATCACCTTTATTATGTGTCAACCTTGTGTAATTTACACTAAGCTTGCTATGTCTCTGGTATTTGATTACAATTCCCAATTTAACCTCTTTATTTTATCACTACACTTGATTTGTGTGTCAGCCCTTGCTTCAAGTTACATTAAGTGTTCTCCATTTCCTGCTGTTTGTTTGTATGTATTTTGTGGTAATCACTTTCCTCGCACACTAGTGAACACAACTCACCCCCCCCCCCATACACACCCTAATGGAACTTATATTCTGTTGACTATAAATACATTACTATGCCACTCATTTGTCTATTCACCCTTTATCTTATGTTCTGAATGACTGCACACCTTTTATATCGGATACAGAGGGCTATTTTCGCATTTGTCAGTTTACGCCGTCTCTGGCTTAGTAGACGTGATATCCAGCTGGCTATCGACCAAAGGGCGTGTGTACTGCTCAGCAGTCCGCTCCGTCCTCCTTTATGGCTGTGAGAGAGAGAGTGGAGGACATGAAAAAGCCAGCTAGGTGTCTTTCATCGTAGGTGCCTGCGTTCTATCTCCCGTGTGAATTGGTATAATAGGGTGAGCAATATTGAGGTTAGGCGTTGGTCGGGTGCTAGGTAGGTGTGAGGGGAAATCAATAGACGAGGCTGTGAAGCTACATCTACTGAGAGGGCTAGGACATGTGTTACGTGTATGCCTAGTCATCGCCTTCATCGACGGGCAATGTTAGCTGGTATAGGGTCAGGTTGGAAAAGAGCTAGGGGCGGTCAAACGAAAACATGGCACCAGTCAATGAAATCAACAACAGTTAGTTTAAGCCAACCAGCCATGTAGGAAGGTGTAGACTTCCTAACTGACTGGTTGGGGTGCCCGGGACGGTAAAAACCAAAGGCTGGAGACAGATGATTGGTGATATGGCTCAAAATCGTTCTCAATGGCTGTCGTAGATGCATCCACTCCTTGTGACTTATAATACCCAATGAAACTATATTGTTCTTCGTTATTGCCTTTTTTTGTCTACTGTCTACTGTTTCTATTATGCATTTCTTCTACTTTCTTCTCTTGCTTTATGTGCTACGTGGATAGAGTGTGGCGACTCGAACTGCCGCATATATGTGCAAAGTTCTATGTTGAAAATAGGCAGACAGACAGACAGACACTTTTTATGTACATTGATTTGACAATATTAACTAACGAAACCCCAATACAGTATCTGATATAATTTTCACGTCTTTAATGGTTATCTGTATTGTAATATTCATGGATTTAGAACTATGTAGAGCTTGAAGAATTTATCGAAAACAACTGTTCGCTCGCAAAATCATCTTGTTACGTCACACTCAAGTAGTGGATGGCAAAGATTTGATTTCATTGGCTACAAGATTTCATCATGAACTGACATTGGTTAGAGAACTGTTGCAAAAAAAGCACCGGAATACTGGACAACTGTTTTATCCTAGTGTCTAGGACTCTTCGACAGTACACACCCACTGCCAGGGTTAGAACCTAGGACCCTCCGGTTACAAGGAAAGTGAGCTGGTAGACCATTAAGCTACTGTAACATCTTTTTCCTATGCTTGCATTACGACTTTGTTCTCTTCCACAATATGATGTTTTTATGTGAATTTTGTTAAGTCAGCTTCATTTTTCGTTAGATTTTCACTTGATATATTTGATAAGAGGCTTGGTAATTTCAATAGTTAGGATACTGTATTGATAATATCTGTCGTTTAGAGTGTGGGTCATTGGCTTAGTGGTGTAGAATGCTCACCAACCACGCCTCACGTGGTTCGGGGTTCGACCTCCGGCCACAGACGCATTCCTTCCTTTACCACACTAAGCCGGTACCATGACCGGTAAATAGGAAAGGTTGGGTGTGAGGCTAACAACCCAATCCCATAAAAAATAAACATCACTGCTACTGAAACTTCAAAGCTCCAACCTGGGAGCTCTCTTACGTTCCACTCAGAATGTAAAAAGGAATAAAATAGTAACTAAATAATAATAATGGGGTGCAGCAGGTCAGGTGTGAGGACAAATACTCGCCACCGAAGACACTGACTAGTGGTCGCGCTATGTCATGAATTCGCAAAAGTTAGAATTCATGGGTTGGCCATTGGATCGGGTCCCAGTGGCTTAATGGTCTACGAGCTCGCCTTGTAACCAGAAGGTCCTGGGTTCGAACCCCGGTGGGTGCGTACTGTGCTGCGGAAGAGTCCCAAACTAGGACAAAACGGCTGTCCAGTACTCCCTGGTTGGTTTTCCAATGGTTCTCTAACCGATGTTAGCAGCTCATGATGAAATCCTGTAACCAAGTTTTATTGTAACAGAAATTTTCTGAACAACTTTATTGCTGAACCAGGTATATGGAATGCATTCGTCATAATCGAGGAAAGAAAAGAAAACATACGAACAACTTACTTGATTGAACATTTTCAATTTTCCCAAATTCATTATTCAATGTAGTATCCTTTACACCATTAATAATATCATCAATTTCATTGATTAATTTAGCTTCTTCTCTATTCCAATCATAAGAATTATTATTTCGACATCTTTCTTGTGGATTAGTATTTCGGTGTACATCAGTATATTCAATATTCCATTTAACACCACGATGCATTTCCCAGCATAATTCTTCAATACCACCATAGATAAGCTAAATAAAAGTTAAGTTGAATTATAAGAAAGTAGTAACCAGCATTAATCATGAACAATATAAAGAATTTGAATGATGAGATTACTTCCTTCACTCTTATCTAATCAGGCAGCCACTACTACGTGTGTCACGCAAAGCATCTCCAACAGACTACTGCAAACTATTAACAATAGCTGCCCCTTTCGCTGGCTCCAGATAAAAGGTTGAATGGCCAGAAAGAATCAATAACAAGAAAATATGGGGAAAAAACGAATCAAGAACCTATCGTCCAACAAATTATGTAGGAGAAAATGGAGATGGATTGGGCACACGCCACTGATATCGTGCCTAATACAGGCCACCGGTCGAGTGGAACCCGAATGAGAAACGACGAGTTTCGTGGTGGTCCGGTGATGACATGGAGGAGATCAGAGATTGTGGGTAGTAGTGGGGCCAGGTAATGAGGACCGCAGGAAATAGGACAAAATGGAGACGTGATGTTGAAGCTATATGTTCCAATCGGAACACCCAAGGGAACAATAATAATGTAATGTGAAGAGTTGAAATATCATAGTAAAATTTGTACACAAATCAGGAAATATTCAGAACAAGTAAGTTTATTAAAAAAAGTGTTCAGTAGACCTTTTCATCTCTAAGCAGTTGGCGATGGGACACACACCTGTTATATGACGGCCAGTTATACCATCTGGATGGTGAAATCACGGTAGATGGAGTAAATTTTGCACCTGTAACCCAGTGGTTGGAAGTAAAGTGTCTACACTGTTGGGCCACTGTTTCTGACCAGTGGGACGATGAAAAGATTGGAGAAAATAAGAATATTTTCAGTATACATATAAAGGCTAATCTACACCTACCGAGAACAGAGTGATTCTCTTATTTCCTAAATGAATGTACCTTTTATTCTATTCTCACTAGAATATATTGTTTTTCATGTCAGGTTTTCTACTCTAATTGATTCTTCCTCTTTGTATTAAAGCTCTGTGTGTGTGTGACACAGGGAATCGGTACATTTTCACGTCAAGTTTCACATCATTAAATCACTGTGTAACTAATAAACTTTATTATTTCTTATATTAGTACTTGCCTTTTGGCAGGCAACAGGAGCTTCAAACAGGAATTATTTAAGCGAAATATTCACCAAACATTATTCATTGAAAATAATCAACAACAGAACATCGGCCTTTTGAAGTTATGTTACCTATACTTTCTATCTACAACTTGAAGTCATTGTGAAAAGTATGTTGAGACACCATTTTGTAACATATAATTGATTTATTTAGGGTGAACACAGTTGAAGAGAGACTCCACGAAATAAAACGAGCTCATATTATCCTACAAATATGTTTGTTCCTTCCTCCTTTCTTACTTTCGTGAACTGATACCATCTTGAAAATTCGTTATAATATTTTTAGTGTGCCAATGTTAGCATCACAATGAGATGTACCTTAATTACTATGAGTTTAAATTAGTAGAATGACCTTTATGTAATCTCACTAGTGGGAAGAACAGTGTTAATGTAGAAAGTGTTTTAATACGGGAGTCGTGTATGTGTGTGTGTGAATGAGTGTATTAAGAGTATTTTGAGATTTTGGATACATGAGATGAATAGAACTAGGACATTGTAAGAGTACATTTCTACCAGAGAATAAGGGAATTTTGAAACTAACACCATAGTAACAAGAAAGAAAACACAATAAATAAACGAAGCATTTTTATGTTGAAGAAAAAACTTCTTTATTTACTGCTCATTCTTATGCGTGTGTGTGTATGTGAGAAGAACAAGAGTGTACATGCAGACAAGATAGTGAATTGTTGAATTCTGTATCCAGTGTTGAGCAGCAGTTTTGTTAATGATACATATTTGTTTTGAGCTGGATTGTTAAATAGTGATTTTATTATTATTACTATTTTTTATTGTTGGTTTGTAAGGGTTAGTTTTGTTTTTACGAGTTGATCTCGGATTGATATCAGTTAGAGAACCATTGAAAACCAGTAAGTACTGGAGAGTTGTTTCATCCTAGTTTGGGAATCATCGACAGCACGTGCCCTCTGGGGTTCGAAATCAGACTGAATGGTATACGAGCTTTCCTTGTAACCGGAAGGTCTTCTGTTGCAACCCGTTCGGGTGCGTACTACCGATGGTTCCCAAAGTAGGATGAAACAGCTGTCCAGTATTACTATTGTTTGTATTTGATTCCTTTATATTCTGAGCTGAACTGGGGGAAGGGGGCTTCAAGCTAGAACTTTGAAGTTTCGGTAGCAGTGGTTTTATGTTCAAAAGGGGAGGTTGCTAGTTTCTCCACAGGCTTAGCGGGTATATTTAGACAGCGTTTAGTAAAATAGAATTTATTTATTGTGCACACAGCTGAAGAGAGACTCCACGAAATAAAACGACCTCATATTATCCTACTAATATGTTCGTTCTTTCTTTATGCAAACTAATAAAGGGAACAGGTGGTATAAAAAGCACAAAACACCTAGGTCCAGAATATCTTCAGGATCGCCTCCGTACACTTAATATGGCTAACACAGCATAAATTATAAAATGAATTATTGACATATTACTCGTAATGATCAGGTTAATTAAGAGAGTCAATAGAAAAAGTTACACATCACCCCAGTACACCATCCTATACTAGTTGGTATAAGTCAGAATAAACTCAGACTGATAGGACTAACATAAAGCATAGATAAGAAAATAGCAAAAATGTAGAATCGATTAACGGCATTGATGTCATCATTTTGTGGGGGGTAAGATAAATTATTAGTCAGAATAAGCATGCTATGTTATATTAATTGACCTTGTGGAATTTTATTATTTATATGAAAGGAATACACAGTATGTTTTTGGTGAATAAATTTATCATTGCAATCACAGGTCATTAATCTCTAGCTATCTTAAATCTTTTGCTGTACTAAATGAAACAAAAAGTACTAAAAAGGGAACAGTCGGTATTCAGTGATGCTAATGGAAACATAACTGGATTTGCGACGTGGAACTTTGCATAACACGTAGTCACCAGTATGTGCGTATGTACACTTCAGTTCACTTGGTCGAATGAAGTACAAATACTTGTTTACTAAGCAATTCACCCATCTTATTTTCTTCTCCTATTATTATTATTTCCTTGAATTCCTAGAGGAACATAGGGCTTCAGCCGTGCGTCTCCATTGCGTTCGGTTCTCTGCTAGAGTCTTCACCTGGCTCCAAGTCTCCCCACACGTTTTCATCTCCTCTTCACATGACCTCCTCCTGCATGTCACCTTTGCACTGATGACCAACTCGCCGCTTCCCTTTCAGGTTCTACTAGAGTGATGGCTTGTCTAGTGATGTCACTTGATCCATTGTTTCCTCAGAGTATGGCCAGCCAATCCATCTCCATTTCTTCCTGCCTATTTGTTTCACAATCGGTTTGCTCCCACAGGTCCCTACTGCTGATCTTTTCTGGCTGGCCATCTGATCTTGAGTGGTATTGAGCGAAGACAGCTGTTAATAAAGGTTTGTAGTTTGTTTGAGATGTTCTTTATGACGCGCAGTGCAAGTCTCTGATCCGTATAGTGAGTAGCACTGACTTCACATTCGAGTTGAAAATCCGGATGTTATTTTTGATGCTGTGTGCTGTTGACCTCCACACAGACTTGAGAGTAGTGAAAGCTTGTCTTGCTTTTCCGATTCTTGCTTTGATATCCTCGTCAGTTCCGTTCTCCTGTATTTGAAACGATGCTCCCCAGGTAGGTAAAGGGAGTAGTTTCCTTCAGGTTCCTCCCATTTATGCTGGCTGATTGTTGTCTGTTGTTGTTGCTGCTGTTGCTGTTGGCCAGGAATCTTCATCACCTCTGTTTTCTCTATGTTCACCTGAAAGAAGTCCTATCTTTGATGCTTCTTCTCCCAACTTGTTGCTTTTCGCTTGCATATCTTCCAGTTTGTGGGAAATCAGACATATATCATCGGTGAAGTCCAGATCCTCCAAGTATTTTGTGTGAGTCCATTTTATGCCTGTTTCCTCATTTCCCGCTGTCTGTCGCATTATCCAATCTACTGCAATCAGGAAAATCATTGGCGATAGTAGGCAGCCAGCTTGTCTTACTCCTGTCCTCACTTCGAAGGATTCCGTAAGTTTCCCGTTGTGGATTACTTGGCATGCAGCATTGTCGTACAGCTGTTGGGTGAGATGTATAATTGTCGGTGGCACCCCACAGTAGCGAAGTAGTTGCCAAATCACCTCTCGATCGACGCTGCGTTGTCGAAGGCCTTTTCAAAGTCGACGAAGTTGAGATGGAGAGGTGACTGCCATTCCAAGCTTTGTTCAATGATGATCCTATATCTATCCTCTATTTATAGGTAACGCATATTTGTGAAATGCCTAAATTTAGAAATAAACTTGACTTATAGCTATAAAATGCATGGCTATGTGATGAAATTGTTTTTCCTTTGAATTACATTTATGAGTTAAAGTATCATTGAAAAATCAGCCACAGGGAGTACTGGACAGCTGTTTTGTCAGCCTAGTTAGGGATTCTTCATCAGTACGCACCTAGTGGTGTTCGAACCCAGTACCTTCCAGTCATAAGGTAAACTTATAAATCATAAGGCAGTTGCTTTATATACGTCACACACTTGGTGAAAGTTGAAATTCATGGGTCACTGAATCGTGCTCCGGTGGATGAATGGTGTGCGAGCTCTCCTTGTATCCTGAAGGTCTTTGATTCGAGCTGTGGAGGTAGGTGGGTGGGTGTGTATCGATGAAGAGTCCGAGGCTAGGATGAAACATGTGAATTGGCTACTTTGCAGTCAAAAACCAGCCAGTTAGATAAGTCGCTGATATCGAAGGAAGAGTTCGCTTATCTAGGAAGCATTGTTTCAACCACAGGCAGAATGGATGAAGACGTCAAAAACAGCCGAAATCGGAAAGGCAAGATACGCACGCCTTCATCACTCTGAAACCAGTTTGGAAATCTTATGCACTCCACCTCAGCATAGACAACAAGATTCCGATTCT